ACTACTACTACTACTACTACTACTACTACTACTACTACTACTACTACTACCACGTGCGCGACAAATTCCGACCCCCACCCCCATCGAGATGCCTGAATCATTGATCCGTAAGGGTAGGGTTCGCATTTCGCCGCCGATCCAGCCAGGCGGGGGTGGGGGCGCAGTTCGCGGCGGCGCGCGGTGTTTCAGCACCATCCAACCCAAGTCTTCCAGCTGCCCGTCGCGCGCCGGGGAAGGGGACATTGATTGTTTCACCTGCTCGTCCGCTCGAAGCCGTTTGCTGCCGCCTGCTGCTGTTTGCTGATGCGCGCTGCCGCTTGCTGCTGCGTGGTGTTGCTGCGTGGTGCAGGTGCTGGCTGCCTCTGCCTTCTGCTGTATGCCGCTGCTGCATTCTGCGGCACATGTTTGATGTTTGCTAGGTATGGTTGCCTGACTACCTTGCTGCTGGATATGATGCACTATTTGGCTATGATTTTGCGGCCTGCTTGTCTGGTGCTACTTACTGCTGTTTGCTGCTGACGATGTGAGCGCGTGATGCTTCCGCTGTTCGCTGCTGCTGCTGCTGGTGCTGCTGCTGCTGCTGCTGCTCGCCGCTGCTACTTACTGTTCCAAGATACTGCTGCCTACTAGATTACCTTGCTGATGCCTCCAGCTGATGCTGTTGCTGACGGCTGCTGCTGTCAGCTGCTGCCGACTTCTGCTGCTACCTGCTCACGGCTGCTGCCACAGGGCTTGCTGCTGCTAGACATGGGTGCCGAACTCGAGATCTCTTGGGCCGTTTTTGAGAGCACCGTAGGGCCCTCTTGGGCCGGCCGTCTTCGGCCTCCCTGCGGGCTCTCTGGGGCTGTGTGGAAGCTCTCCGAGGCCGTCCTGGGAGCTTCATTGGCGCTGGGGCGGTTCTGAGGCCCTCTCTGGCCTTCGCCTTGCATGCGCGTCGGGCCACTCCGTGGCCGAGGAGCTGCGAACCAAAATCTTCGAGCAAAAAGCCCAGAGGACAGAAACCTTGGCAAAAACAAGTGCTTGGCAAAAACAACAGTGTTGCGCGATTGGGGGCGTCTCCTCCCCTCCTCCTCCTCCTCCTCCTCCTCCTCCTCCTCCTCCTCCTCCTCCTCCTCCTCCTGCTCCTCCTCCCTCCTCCTCCTCCTCCTCCTCATCCTCCTTACTCCTCCTCAGTCTCCTCCTCCTCCAACACCACCACCACCATCATCTCCTCCTCCTCCAGCACCACCACCACCTCCTCCTCCTCCCACCATCACCACCACCACCACCCCACCACCTCCTCCTCCTCCTCCTCCTCCTCCTCCTCTCCTCATCATCATCATCATCATCATCATCATCATCATCGTCATCATCATCATCATCATCATCATCAGCAGCAGCATCATCATCATCATCATCAGCATCATCATCATCATCATCATCATCATCATCATCATCATCATCATCATCATAATCATCATCATCCTCATCCTCATCCTCATCCTCATCCTCATCCTCATCCTCATCATCGTCATCATCATCAGCATCAACATCCTCATCCTCATCATCATCCTCATCCTCATCCTCATCCTCCTCATCCTCCTCATCCTCATCCTCATCCTCATCCTCCTCATCCTCCCTCCTTCTTTCTCAGGCTCTTCCGGGGCCTCTTGAGGCCTCTCTTGCAGGCTCGCATGCACGCGGTGGCGCCTCTCGGGAGCTGTCGAGCGCAGCCCTGGAACCTGGGAGGCCCGTTGGCGGCGGTGCCGGCGGCCCGAAGCGCCTCTGGCAAACCGGCGGATCTGCCCGAGAGCCGACCCGGCGGCGGCGCCCAGGGCGGACGGATTGGGACTTAATGCGCCCTCTGGCACGCGCGTCGCCCGGGCATTTTGTCATGTAAACAAATGTACTCCACACTGCACATCATCCACTGCCATGCGATGGAAAGAGTCGCCAGGCAACCTGGGTGCAACCCAAGAGCCGACCTGCGATAGGTAAACCCATGAGGTGAACCGTGGCCTGAGAGGCCTGAACCGCGTCGCCCAGCCATGTAAACACGATGATGGCGTCGGGCTGCAACCTGGGCTCCAACGATTTGCAGAACAACGCGCTACGCAACACACCACCAAACAACATAGCAAATCAAGCGACAAAACACTGGGAAGTCTAGAAATCGAGTCGCCTCTGGGAGCCCAATTTGGGCCCTCTTGGGCGGGGCCCTCGTGGGGCCGTCTTCTTGGGGGAGCACCTGAGGCTACATTAGGCTCTCTGGGGCCTGTTATGGGGCATCTTGGGGCCCTCTTGGACCGTCTTGGTGCGCTCGTCTGGGCCTCTGGGGCCGTTTGGGGGGCGATCTTAGGAGTACCTGGAGCCGCGTGGCGCCCCTCCTGGGCCGTCGGGTGGGGCCGCCTGGCGGCTCTTCGAGCCCTGTTGGGCCGCCATGGGGCGGACGCTGCAGATCCTCTCGGGCCACCCTGCCGCCCTGTCGAGAGCGTCAGAGCTGTCCTGGGACCGTCGGAGGCCGGCTCTGAGGCAACCGGGGGATTCGCCGGAGCCGGCGTGGAGCACCCCGAGGCGCGCGATGATCTCGCGCGGCGCGCCCCCGTTCGGCCACACTTCGCCCAGAATCGTAGCACTAATGCCATTGGGCTCCACCTTCGCCTCCCACATCTCACGGAGCACAGACAGTGCGTGTTGCCATCGCCTGCCTTTTCTGCACGCGCTGACAGTCGCAATTTAGCGGCCTAGGACGAGTTCTACGCCTAATCCAATTCCTTCACGGAGCAACTGCAGTGCTACGCTCCAATGTTCCCAACCAGCCTGTGGTGTTGGGTCCTCGTTTTGAAGAGACAGCGCCCCGCGTTCCTTCCTTCCTTCCTTCCTTCCTTCCTTCCTTCCTTCCTCCCCCTCCTCCCTCCTCCCATCCCTGCCTCTGCCCTGCGCTTCGTGGCCCCATGGGGAGCTACATCTAAGGCCCCAGTGGAGGTGTCCACATGCGTCTCCCCCACGCAGCACGGCGCTTCGTGGCCCCAAAGCGAGCCCTACCTAAGGCCCCACTGGCGGTATCCACATGCGTCTCCCCCACCCAGCATCGTCTCCCCCACCCAGCACAGCGCTTCGTGGCCCCATGGGGAACTCCACCTATGGCCCAGACGGCGGTGTCCACATGCGTCTCCCCCACGCAGCACGGCGTTTCGTGGCCCCACAGGGAGCTCCACCTAAGGCCCAGACGGCGGTGTCCGCATGCGTCTCCCCCACCCAGCACAGCGCTTCGTGGCCCCACGGGGAGTTCCACTGACAGCCTCAGTGGCGTTGTCCACATGCATCTCCCCCACCCAGCACAACGTTTTGTGGCCCCATGGGGAGCTCCACCTATGGCCACAGTGGCGGTGTCCACATGCGTTCCCCCCACCCAGCACGGCGCTTCGTGGGCCCAAAGGGAGCTCCACCTAAGGCCCAGACGGCGGTGTCCACATGCGTCTCCCCCACGCAGCACAGCGTTTCGTGGCCCCATAGGGAGATTCACCCAAGGCCCCAGTGGCATTGCCCGCATGCGTCTTCCACACCAAGTACAGCGTTTCGTGGCCCCATGGGGAGCTTCATCTAAGGCCGCAGTGGCAGTGTCCACATGCGTTTCTCCCACCCAGCGCAGCGCTTCGTGGCCCCATGGGGAGCTCCACCGAAGGCCCAGATGTCGGTGTCCACATGCGTCTCCCCCACACAGCACAACGTTTTGTGGCCCCATGGGGTCCCCCTAAGGCCCAGTGGCGGTGTCCACGTGCGTGTCCCCCACCCAGCACAGCGTTTCGTGGCCACATGGGGAGCTCCATTGAGGGCCCCAGTGGCAAAGTTCTCATGTGCCCTGGTGGCAATGTTCGCATGCGTCTCCCCCGCCCAGTAGAGCGTTCTGTGGCCCATAGGGGGCTCCACCTAAGACGATCCCCACAACTGAGGTACTGACAACTGCATATGGTTGGGTCCTTCACGAGGCTAATTTTATAAGAGAGCACTTCTTGCTTGACACTTCGAGGGAAATAGCGCCTTCTCGAGACTCCCGACCGAAGTCTAGAAACAAGGAACAGAAGGGGGAAAAGAAAAGGTAAACAGGAGATGAAGGGGAGAGGAAGGGGAGGCGGAAGAGCGGAAGGAAGAGGGGGAGGAAGAGAAGGAAGAGAACGAAGAGGAGGAATAGGAGGGCAGAAGGGAAAGGAGGGAGGAATGGGTGGGGCCTCGAAGGCGTCGTTCGAAAGGGAGCGCTCATCTCTTCGAGATCCGATTTTTCCTTCGCTGCCCAGGCTAACGCTCCGGACGAGCCTGTCCAAGCATGGACTGGACGGTCTTCACGACTGCAGTCATCAGCCGGCCGTCATCACCATAACAGATTGGAGGCCTGGAAATTGGCACCAACACCAGCTCAGGGGGGTGCCTCCACATGGGGAAGATGATCCTAGATTTCGGTGTTGGTGACAATATTTCGGTCACCTGGGAAGCCAGAATACTACCACCGTCACCGAGATCGGGATCGTCTTCCCTCGGTGGAGGCACACCGCCGATCTTGGTGTTGGTGTCAACCTCTAGGCCTGCGAACAGAGGCCTAGCGAAACGAGTGGGGCCTGACGACGCCGGCAGCTGCATGTGACACGGCAGCGACAAATTGAACCCGCAACAAAAAGGCCCGAGGACGAGTGGCGCGTGCGCGTGCGTTCTGGCAGACGACGCCGGCGCGAACCGAAACGTGACTGGCCCCCTCCCCCCTGCCTCCCCCTCCCCCCGGTCACGCCCGTTCTCGCCAGGGGACAAAAAAACTGGCTCCTGCACGCTGTCGCACCAGGACGGCACGCCGCATAACCACTCCCGCAATTGTTAGGTCGGGCATGTCCCCCTACAGGCGGACTTTGGACGAAAACTTAGAAATACACCCAAAAAATATTCATGAACGGTCCACATAAATTCAAACAAATGTCCCCAAACTATTTGTGCACTATTTTTGAATACTCCTCCTGTAGAGGGACAGGCCCGACCTAACGCAGTTGCGGTGAGGCAGGCCCGTCACCGCAGCGGCGCGCGCGGCCAAGGAGGACCGGAGAGCGAGGCACCCGCCAGGCGAAGCGGAGCCCTTGCGCGCAGCAGGGGTCGAGGAGGGCGCAGAAGGGGGAATCGATGCAGCCTGGAGACGGGCGGAGGCGGAGTCTTGCGAGAAAGTGGAAGGAGTGCCGTCGCAGCACCACGGCTGCGGTCCCACCCCGACCGGGCTCTCTCGCGCGCTGCAGGGGTCGAGGAGGGAGCGAGAGGAGAAGTCGACACAGCCTGCCACGAGGCGGAGGCGGAATCCTGCGAGAAAGTGGAAGGAGTGCCGTCGCAACACCGTGGCTGCGGTCCCACCCAGACCAAACTCTCCTGCGAGCTGCAGGGTCCAGAAGGAAGCAAGAGAAGTCGACGCAGCCTGGAAACAGACAGAGGCGGAGTCCTGCGAGAGAGTGGAAGGAGTGCCGTCGCAGCACCACGGCTGCGGTCCCACCCCAACCAACATGTTTTCGGTCCGACCCCAGCCAACAAGCACATCTTGAACGCTGCAGGATCAAGGAGAGAGGAGAAGCAAGGGGTGACGCAGCCTGAGAGGAGAAGGAGGCACAATGACGTGAGACAACGAACGGGAGTGCCGTCAGTGCTGTGGCTGCGTGCCCTCGCTCAACGACCAAAACCTTCGAACAACCGCCACTCCGAAGGAAATGTGGCAACTCCCAGGAAGAGGCTCAAAACCTGCTGAGGAATCCTGTTCAGGAATTCATTCGCTCGTTGATTGGTTTGGAGTGTCTGGGGTGTCCTCTTGGGGCCCGCTCATGATCTACTGGAGCTATCTTGGTGTCATCTGGGAGCCTCTCAGGCCCCTAGTGGACTCTCTCAAGAGTCCTTGGGGGGGTCGCTCACATCTGCGTCCCGCAGTACGGCCTGTGCTGGATGAGGCCCCAGCGCAATCGCGGCCACAGAGATGCCGCTCGCCAACAGCAGCCACCACATCTACCTCGACGTTCCCCAGACAGTGCTTGCCCTTGGGCGTCCTTGCTTTCCAAGGAACTGGGCCTGCGCGTCGGCCTGGCGGCTGTTGGTCGCCGTCGCCGCACCCGTCGCCGTCGCCGTCGCCGCCCCGCCGTCTGGGCATGCGCGTCGGGTGTGCCGCCTAGTGGTTGTCGTCGCCGCTCCGTCGCCGCCTCGTCGCCGCCCGCCGTCCGAGCCTGGGTGGCGCTCCGGCCGCCGTGTGGCCGAAGCCGCCGCCCCGTCGCCGCGTCGTCGCCGCGTCGTCGCCTCGTCGCCGCACTGCTTTGCACTGCTTTGTGTTACTCGGCACTGATTTGCGCAACTCTGCGTCGCATCACATTGATTGCACTGCTGTATGTAAAAATGTCTTCGCACTGCGCTACATTGACTAGTACTGCTTTGCACGATGCCTCTCTCTGCGTTGCGTTTCGTTGAGTTGCATTGCTTTGCATTGGTTTCACTGCTTTGCACTGCTCTGCGTTGCTTTGCATTGCAACGCATCGCAACGCATCGCTTTGCATTGCTTTGCGTTACTTTGCACTGCTTGGCTTTCTTCGTAGATCAAGCGCACACACATACACACAACAAAGTACAAAAGGAAAGAACATCGTGGCCACGGGTGCGCGCACCCAGCGCTCCCCAAATAGTGCGTGCCCTCAGGGGCTCTTCTTCTCCTTTCCCTGGCGACTGAGCTCCGCTGCCCGTCCTGCCGGCTTGTGGCCCCCCGTCGCCGCCCCTCGCCGCCGTCCGTCGCCGCCATGCTTTGCGGCGCCTGCTCCGCATTGCTTCGCACTGCTGCGCAATCTCATCGCTCTGCCATCGCACTGCTCTGCACCAGAAGCACACTGCCCTGCATTGCGCGACATTGCTTTGCAGTTGCGCTGCTTTGGAGCGCTCTGCCTTGCATTGCTCTGCACCGCATAGATTGCACCATGGATTGCACCACACGAATTGCACCACATGACTTGCACCACATTGACTGCACAATCTAGACAGCACAGCATAGATTGCAAGAAATGACTGCTTGGGGTCCATGCTGGCTAACTTCTGCCCATGTGCACCCCAAACATTCAGTGATTGTACGATGTGGGTGCGACAGATGCGCGGTGCAGTGTGTGTGATGTTCGCCGGGTGGCCCCAGCTATGCGATGCAACCTGTACGATGCGAGGCCTGTGGCACGAGCCGCGTGGTCTGACCTCTGTGATGCAAGCCGTGTGGTGCAAGCTGCGGGCGCCCACGAGGCGCGCCCACCGGCGGCCGCCCGCGCGGCGACCACGAGGCCCCCCTGGCGGCAGCTGCGCGGGCACCGGGCGAGCCTCGGCCACGCCCCACCCGGTGCACGGGGCGCCCACGGGCGGCAGCCCACCGGGCAGTGTCTGCAGGGCTGCAACCGGCCGGGCACCGGGCGAAGACCCGCCACGCCCACCCGGTGCACGGGGCGCCCACGAGGCACCCCCGGGCGGCAAGCGAAGCCTCGCCACGCCCACCCAGCGAACGAGGCGCCCACGAGACGCCCACGGGCGGCCATCGACCAGGCACCAGGCGAGACCACGCCACACCCGCCCCAGCACTTAAAACCAAAGCGAGACTCCCCAGTGGAGGCACTGTCCTGCCTGGAGAAAAACACATCACGTGCCCGCCTCGCCTCTGCGAAAGCGTTGACCCCCCTCTGCCGCACCCGCTTCAGGCTACTCTGACGGTCCTTCAGGGTTGGTTTCGTGGTCCTCTGGCGCCGCAGTCCAGCTCCCGAAAGCCACGCTGCGCGATGGGCAAGGCAGGGAGCCCCCCCCGCCATCTTCTCCCGTTCCCCCTCCTCCCGTCTTCCCAGATCTCCCCCTACCCCTCCCCATGCCATCACCCCATCCTTTGTCTCGGGCTCTGCAGTAGTGGCAGTGCTTTGCCAAGCAAAGATCGTTGCGACTGAGGAACCTCTTGGCTAAGGCACGTCGATTACATAATCTTCCACGCGAAGCAAAACATCGCGCAACATATCGAGTGATATGTTGTTCTCATGCATGGTCTTATTAACAAGCACGCTCAACGCTGGCATCCAATCGCACGCTCCACACCTGTGCGCGAAGTAATTCGATGGCATGTCCTGAAAATTATCTTCGGCAAAAACAACTCTGCTTTTCCACGGAAAGACTTCGAGCGCCTCATTGAAAGAGAATTGGTCACAGGAGCCGTTGCCGCCAGCAGGGGTCCAATCCCGTTTCAGCCACCATTGCCTCAGAAAGGAATCCATGTCAGATGTGCCTTGGATGCCGCTCCCTCTCTGCAGAACCACGACACCACTGTTCGCTTGCCTGCCAGTGAAAGGGCAAGAGTGCCAGTGAGAATTTACCCAGGCGAACACTGACACGTTGCTTGTCGGCTTCTCCTCACCGAGACAACGGCTCGCAGAGCCAATGTAATCCCGCAGATCTGTATTCATGCTGCGCACCATGACATCTGCATCCATCCACAAGAACAGACTACTCTCTCCTAGAAGTCCCATCGCATGCTCCATCGCCTGAACCTTACACCAATGAGAAGGAATAGCACTTCCTTTATGGCTACATGCACCATCTATCTTCCACCCACCCACGTTGCTGTACGAGTATAGAATGTACGAATAACCGCGCTTCTGCGCATAATACATGTTCAATAACATAGCGGCGGCCTCATCGTCCTCCATCATTTCCGTGACCAGCGCGTCTGCCTGGAACCGTCGATTTGGATCATCCAGATGGCTTAGCTTATCCCTGAACTGGTCCCAGGGAAATTGTTTGATCTGACGCGCTTCGTTATATCCTTGCATGACCACTGGTTTGCTAGGATCTCCCTGAATGTACAAAGATGCGCCGTTAAACGTTGCAATGCGAGCCTGCGGGGGAGCCTGAATCAGCAAACCGGCTGCATATGTAAAAAGCGCCGCGGCTCTCGCAATCCAATACATATCGTTGTTGTAAGATGTGGGATGAAGTAATGACAGTGCGTGCGCGAGGAGTGTCTCTAACTCGATTAAACCAAGTAGCCCAAGTAGCCCAAGTAGCCCGAGTATCCGAAGCTGTGAGGATGTCTCGAGCGGCAGCGCCAGACTTGTGAGGATATCTCGAACGGCCCGAATAGCCCAAGTAGAGGGTTGATTCAAATAGCCCAAGAAGCCCAAGTAGCCAAAGTTGTGAGGATGTCTTGAGCGGCGGCGCCAGAGTTGTGAGGATGTCTCGAACGGCCCAAGTAGCCCCAGTAAAAGGTTTGACCAAAGTAGCCCAAGTAGCTCAAGTAACCCAAGTGGCCCGAGTAACCCAAGTAACAAGAGTAGCCTAAGTAACCCAAACTGCGTTTAGCATCAGCTTGAGCCGATGATGATGAGGAGGAGGAGGATAGTGAAAAAGAATGGCGGCACCTGAGTTGTGAAAATGACTCGAGCGGCGGTGCCCGAGTTGTGAGGATGCCTCCATCGCAGGCGCCCAAGTTGTGAGGATGCCTCGAGCGGCGATGTCCGAGTTGTGAGGGTACCCCTAGCGGCGACGCGCAGGTCGAGTCAAGTCCAGCGGAACATTACATTATGATGCGTGGCCGAGGTGGCACTCCAGCGCCCCGAGCGAGACGCCGCTTCGAGTCAACACGGTAGCGAAATCAAGCCGAATCAGACGAGGCAGAAACCGCAAAAAGAAAAGTCACCCCGAGGCCCCCAGTGACTTGTTTCCAGCCGAAGTAAAGCGTTGCCACAACTAGCCCAAGTAGCCAAAGCTGTGAGGATGCCTCGAGCGGCGGTGTACGAGTTGTGAGGATGTCTCGAGCGGCCCGAATAGCCCAAGTAGAGGGTTGACCTAAGTAGTCAAAGTAGCCCGAGTAGCTAAAGCTGTGAGGATGTCTCGAGCGGCGGCGCCAGAGTTGTGAGGATGTCTCGAGCGGCCCAAGTAGAGAGCTGACTCAAGTAGCCCAAGTAGCCCATGTAGCCAGAGTTGTGAGTATACCTCGAGCGGCGGCGTGCGAGTTTCCAGAATGTCTCGAGCTGTCCGAGTAGCCCAAGTAGAGGTTTGACCCAAGTAGCCCAAGTAGCTCAAGCAGCTAAAGTTGAGAGAATGTCTCGAGCAGCGGGTACGAGTTGTGAGGATGTCTCGAGTGGCCCGAGTAGCCCACGTAAAGAGTTAACCCAAGTAGCCCAAGTAGCCCGAGTATAAAAAACTTGTGAGGATGTCAGCAAGCGGCGGTGCCACGGTAAGTAGTGAGGATGTCTCGAGCGGTCCGAGTAGCCCAAGTACAGGGTGGACCCAAGTAGCCCAAGCCCAAGTAGCGCGGCGCCAGAGTTGTGAGAATGTCTCGGGCAGCTCCAGCAGCCAAAGTAGAGGATTGGCCCAAGTAGCCCAAGTAGCCCAAGTAGCCAAAGCTGTGAGGATGTCTCGAGCGGCGGCGCCAGAGTTGTGAGGATGTCTCGAGCGGCCAAAATAGCCCAAGTAGAGGGCTGACTCGAGTAGCCCAAATAGCCCAAGTAGCCAGAGTTGCGA